GGAACTTCGAAAAATCCCTTCTTATCGAACCTCTACACCCCAGAATCAACATGTGTGCCAAAATTGAGCTTCTTACGTTAGGTGGTTTGAGCAGGATCGTGATTAATCAGTATGTCAGTCACTTAAGGATTTTATATATTAGTATAGATGATTCAGATATAACATTTCAGCTGATTTTTTTACATGTCAGCATAGTTTTACTGTAAACCAGTCTCAAATACTGGCTTTTGTCAAAGCCCTGAGACTGTATGATGAGCTATAACTCAAGATAGGGGAACACAATAGATCTATAAGGTCGCGGTGACTAACTCAAACCAAATATAATCACAAAATGTGTTTCAAATTCTATTACAACCTTAAATTCAATTTTCCTATACGAAATTCGAAATGTACCACATAAATTTTATATTTCTACGCAGAGGGTAGTGTGTCTATAAATATTTTATCCTCCCCAGTTCTTTATCTCACTCCGCACCTCTTTTAAGAGATGTCTCTTGGCAAGACATATTTATTTCGATACAACCCACACTCTCCTAGACGTTTTGAGAAAAAAGATGCCAGCCAATTTCTGGTTCTTAAATAAAAAACAAGTAAGTGCCTCCTTTTGTGGACAAAGAGTTTCGTGTTTTCGGCTTTTAAGTTCTCTTTGTTATGTAAACCAGCAGTAATCGATTCTGAAATTCGCCTGTCTGTCTTTTGATTTATGAGCTACTTTGTTTTTGATTGAATATATAAACGATATCAAAGTCACTATCTTCGATGAATATGTAGCATTTTAGTATAATAGTTTGGTATTGACCTCATTTTAATTTAGCCCAAGCAAATGTATGTATATTATTATTAAATGTATGGCAATCGCTTCTTTGATTTTAAAGAACATAACATAAATAAACATAGCGTACGTAAAAATTAAAAATAATCATACAGAAAGTTTGGGGCTTTTTGGTTTTACCTTATTCAGTAATTGTTATCTGGTAGTAATTGTTAATTTTGAAGTTTAACTTTTTACATTATTTACTATTAATGTTGCAAGTACATAAAAATACTGTTAATACACGGAAGTGTGTTTGAATAATCAATATTATTTTAATATTTGTGGTCTTGTATAATATTAACATATTCACTACCGCTGGCGTACGCTGACTGTGCCGCTGCCGCTGCGAGAAAACAAAATAATTTTGAATTTTGACCGTTGGAATGCCTTTGTTCGGCGATTTCTACATCGCCTACTATCAGAGTCGATGCACGACGTACGGCAGTCTTCTGTCTCTGTCTAACTCATCGTGCGGTAGCGACGCGACGTAAGTCGGAGTTGTATCATATTAAGGCGGGGCTTAGGCGAAATCTCCGGTTGCCTTCGCATGAAGTCGTGGAGGCTCGGTAGGCTTAGATGTTACGGGGATATTTCATATGATTCATTATACGTAGCATTTAGAACTGGCTTGGGAATAGCAGCAGTATTTTAACACCCATATTTTGGGAGAAGAAGTTTTTGATAGAAAATTTTGGCAGAAGTTTTTCGGAGGAGTATTTGAGAAGTACAAGAAGTAGAGCAGTTTTGAAACAGTTTTTTAATGTTTCTGTGAAGCTTCCCTGTTGGATGGTGGTACGAATTTTTGAAACTTTTCTGATGGTTTGGAGATATCAAGTTCTAGTGACCTAATTGACAACACCTTCAAAGCAAAAGATAAGTACTCAGTTGTATCTTGTTTTTGAATCTTTTTTGCTCTTTGTTCTGTTTTGCCTTTTTACTGAGACTTTTTTAATGAAACTCAAATACAAAGATTACGGTTGGTAATTTAGTTAATAATATAACGGGTGCGTCTCAAAAGTGGCCCACCCCTATAACTTTTTTATGTTTAAAATTATAAATTATTGTTGTTCTTGTGCTCCTTTTACGTTTATATTATTGTTTTGATTGAAAATGGCTCAGCAAGCTGCAGGTATGTATTCTACAAAAACATATTATTTATTTTGATATTCTCTATACTAACGATTTTTTTGCAACTAAAAGTTAGGCGTTCAGAAAATTTCATTAAATTTGTGACATTTTTATTATACTTAGAGATTTAGTTGCGCGTTTCGAAGAATTCAGCATGTTGTCTATACAGGCCCGGCAATGGATCTCTAGGCATAGGAATTACATGCATTGGAATGAAACGCCTATAAAAAGTCTATGCTTAAACAGAGATGGACAACAACTTCTCCGTTTCCACTTCCACTACGACTGTCTACTTAGACAAACTCCAATAAGATAACAAATTTTGGAAATTCCGCCACCTCCCATCCACTCATGATGCCCATCTCCCTGCCCTTTATTTATCGCCATTATTTTATTTCCCTTCCCGCGCCTCCGCACCTCGCTATTCTGACTCCCGTCAGTTCATCACAGAGTTGCCAGGTCTACCGGTTTCGTCTGTAAGCTACCGATCTACCGATTTAAAGAAAAATCTAACGATATATTCAACTGCGTCTTTAGTTTTTACAATAGAAGCACTTATAAAAAGCTGACTTATTTGACTAAAAATTAAGCGACTGCCGTGTTGGAATCTGTATAATTTGACTTTATTATTGTTTCATTAAATTTTATTTAGTAATAACACACATACAGGTCATCGTTCTGTCTAGTTGCAGAGTTACAGAGATATTCCTAAAAATCCTTATTACTCCTTATTACTCCTTATTAGGCGCGGTATTGGCGACATGCCCGAAGAAGTTGATATCTTTTGAAAAGATTTTATTTCATTCATCTACTAAAGTTGAACCCATATTTTCCCCAAAAAATGTAAACAAAAAACAAAATTTAAGTTAAGAAACAACCTAAATTCGGACAAATATTTTAGTGATTTTCCTGTCAAAAAAATATATTAATATGAAAAAAGAGCTGAGAGTTGCTACAGCTTTCCCATTGAAATGAAATTAATTTTAGATATCACACTGGTCAAAATTTGTACAAAGGTAAAAAGTGACTGCTACACTAATTTGTGACTGCTATCCCTACTTATAGTTTTATATGTTTTTATTAATATATTAATATATTATTTAATTCAATATTTTTTTTTAATATCAAATAATATATCTAGCTATTTCTAATTCTTGTTATATTTATTATATTTGTATTTTATTTGAGTGATCTATTATTATGACACATAGGAATGCTAATTTTGTTCTCGTATGGAATTATAATCTAACAAACCCGGCAACCCTGTTCGGCTACTTCTTATAAAGTTTTTTGGCCTAATTCCTTTGTCACCGCCGCCGACCGACGGTGTCGGGGCGACTGCTAGGAAGATCGTACGGTATTGCCATTTCATAGAATTGCACTTGCTATTTTAGAAATGATTTCAAAGTTTTACATGTTACTTTTCGTTTTAGAAAGAAGTTATGTGCCTAGAGAAAACATTCTTAAAATTGTTTCGTACTTTATTCAATATTTCATTAAGCAGGCAAGATAAGGGATTAGAAGATTTAGGATTTTGACAAGCCAACATAATTTCGATTTAATTGAATGGCAACACTGTCCGTCCTGTTTCTATTTTTTCGATTCTGTTCTATTAGTAGGCGGTAGCCCCCACACAAGCGTCTTAAGACCCGCCCGGCGCCCCTCCTCGCAGGGGCTCTATCGTCGTATCACTTCTATGATCACTTCCCCTATACAATGGTAGGGAAAAGACACTTTATCCGTCTCTGTTGCACTGCAGTGTATTTTGCAGCCTTACCATCTTTTTTTATCGCATTGAAAACCTCCTATTGCTAATATTCCTTTGCCGGCAGTGTATACGTTTTACTTAGTAAACATTGGGCTTTCATACAGTAAAATAAAATACCGCGACTTTTTGCGACTTTGCTGATAAAATGAGAAAAACATTCTTGGTTTCCTCTAATTTGCCAATCAGTGATATACTAATGCGAGGTGTAAACTGCGATGGCATTGTTGTGTATAAAGCGATCGCATTAGAGCCATTAGCAGTATAGCACAATTTGACATTAGTAGCGACTTTAGTGGTATGGGCATTGCTCGCGGATCAGTCGTAGCATTAGTAGTATTAGTTGCGATATTACTACTGGCATTAGTGGCATTGACCGTGGAAACACTGGAACAGTGATTTTTCTTTCTTTTTTTTAGAATCGACGAATTATCCTTTATTTTGTTCATATTATTTCCTCTTTAATTGAAAATAGCAATAATTTATATAAGGTCTACATAAAAAAAATTCGATCAACTATCGGTGTCAAATACCCCACTGTGGGCCAGGACAAGACACTAAAAACATTAGACGATCAAATCTATTTTTCCAAGCTCCTTGATTAAAAACTAGTGTTTTTAACACAGCCATGGGATTCTAGATTGAAATTTAAAATACAATTTGTTTTTGAGAGACTATGTCAAAAATTGACATATGATATGTCATTTGATTCAGAGTCTCATTTTCTATCGAATAAAGTAAAAACAAAATACGAATGGTGCCATTTAAAAATCAAAAGTTGTAGTCATTTCCGGTGAAACCGGAAGTGACCGAAAACAATTGAATACCTCAATCAATCCCAATTTATGTCATATACTAATATACCAAATCTCGTTGTTTTATCTGAAAAAAATTAAAAGTTATAGGGGTGAGCCACTTTTGAGACGCACCCGGTATAATTTAAGTTAAAATAGTAAGAAAAAAATAATTTAAAATTTGTAATTTTCCTAATAAAAACTTTTGTTTTACTAATATTCATTTTCAACCTGCACAAATTTAGTTATTAATAAATGTACCTAGTTTTTCCTTAAATTTTGTTGTTTTAATATGAGATATATCATTACAGAACATCTCGAGCCTATATAAATTTTCTTAATTTTTTAAATATCACATTAACTTGGCTTCAAGTGGGTGCCCAACAAAATACAAAAAATCTTTTAATATATTTTTTTCTTACTATTTAAAAAAAATGCCGCAGTAATATACTTAAAGCAAGTGACATTATTGTGACTTGTAAATCTTGACGTTACAAACCTGCTCAATGCAGAAACCAAATCATCCGATTTTTTCAATGAAAATCTTCAATTTCAACGTCAAAATCTCACTCAATAACAATCTAGTCAGTCACTTTAATTGTTTACAGTCGATCGATAACGAAAAAACACAAAATTTCCTTCTCTGGCCAGAAGAAAACTTTAGTTCGCGTCCGCGTCTCGTGGAAATTTCCCGGCGAATTTCCCGCTAGTCCGTGCGAGGGAGCGCCACGATTGAGACTGAGCGTGGAAAATGCGGCCCGATGCAACCTGTAAGCGTCGGCGGGCTCGCGTCGCGACGCCTCTGCCAGACAAATTGCCGAAAAACGACGGCCTTACGCTCTGAGGGCGCTCGCAAAAATTCGCCTAATGGTGGGTTAAAGGTTGATCCTGATGGAACTTTGTCTCTAGGTATCTCTATTTTAGAATAAAACGGTTTTCTATTAGTTTGCTCAAATTAGTATTAGTTGTATTACTATATTATATATTACTAGCGTGTACCCGCGACTTCGTTCGCGTCGAATTAATCATTTATAATGGTGATGATAAAGCAAAGCAAGAATTTCCATTATCATACAAACTGGATAAAATTTTCTCACATTTATGTCAGCATGAGAAAAAAACAATATGACGATATTATTATATAACTTGGTAATATTTGAGGGGTAGTTTCATCTCGTTGGAATTTGACTTTCAAAAAATCCTTTTGCCTTTTTTACGTCAAGCAGTTTAAGCAGAATCGTCGTTAATCAATTACCTAACTTTTTGAAACACCCTGTATGATTTTTTAAAAAAATTCAAAATATGTAAATATGTGTCCAAGCGTTTTCCCGAAAGACTAATCGTTTTTAAAATAACAAATATTGTAATATTTGAGGGGCATTTTCACCCTCTTGGAATTTGAGATTCCTGAAACCCCCCCTTATCGAACCTCTACACCCCACAGTCAATCCGTTTGTCAAAAATCAACTTTAAACGTCAAGCAGTTTAAGCCGAATCGTGATTACTCAATGGTCATATTTTATGAAACATCCTGTATAAATTTTTATTTTTTATTTTTTCGAAAAATCCCTTCTTATCGAACCTTAACACCCTAAAGTCAATCCGTTTTCCAAAAATCGGCTTTTTACGTCAAGCGTTTTAAGCAGGATCGTGATTAATCAATGACCAGATTTTTCGAAACACCCTGTATACATTTTTAAAAAATCTTAAAATATGTAAAACAACAAAATAAAATATACGTGTTTAGGCGTTTTTTCGGAAACTTGACGGTTTTTTGAATAAAAAATAAAGTAATATTTGAGGGGTGGTTTCACCCTCTTGGAACTGGAATTTCGAAAAATCCCTTCTTATCGAACCTCTACACCCTAGAATCAACCTGTATGCCAAAATTGAGATTCTTGCGTTGAGGGGTTTGAGCAGGATCGGGATTAATCAGTATGTCAATCACTTAAAGATTTTATATATTAGTATAGATATATAGATAATATACATTCAGGAAGGGGAGTTGGTTATGAAAAATAAAAATTATTCAAGTACATATTTTTCAATACATTTATTAACATACTTTAGATACTTTTAAAATAATTATGTAATCATATCCCATGAAACTTTGAATATTCTTAGCTGGTTAGGCAAATTTGTGGAAAAGCCCACTGGTTTCAGTAAAAGAAATAGGTATCTTAATAATGCATCTTCAAAATAATTCATTTTTTAAACGAACATTTTTACTTAAAAACCTATTTAACTAAAACTGGAAAATTGTGGTACAAAAAATTGAAAATTCGAAATAATTTCTTAGCCTGTATTATCGTGAGTTTAAGCAGTCTTCTCAGGAGTTTGGCGATTTCACTCCACCTGAACGTACACCACCTTCCTTCGGTTGGAAGGTAACCCGTCCATACCCAAAGAAAGCCACGTACTCGTTTCTCCGGAGCACAAACATCGACTTCTCATCGATGTCAAAAATTAGGATTCGTCCGAATCCTATGTCGCGTTGCCACAGTATTCTCCACTTGTCCGTTAACAAACCCCGGTTCATATACCTCAATCTGTTGAGCACAACAGTACTGCTAGGCTTTTTCCCTGGTACATCATCAGGGATAAAAACCTCGCAGACTTGAGATTCAGGGATATCATTTCCTTTTACCGTCTTGAGCTCAGCTCCCTGCCATGGCGAGAGGTTTTTAATCGTTCCTTCCAGCCATTCAGCGCATATTTCATCAGCACAGTTAAAAAGTACCCATCCATTTCGATTAAAACAGCCATGGAAACGTAATTGTGGACTGTCTTGAATTACGGCATCAAGCGCTACTAAGATAGAACGTTTCAGTAATGCAAATTGTTCAGAAGTTAGACAGGTTTGAGGATAGTCAGGACGAAGTATTCCCACTTTGATCATTTCGTCTCTTCGAGACTTCTTAGCACTGTGTTCTGCTGTGCTTGCATTAGAAAGATTTCGCTTGCTGCTACCTTTTCCACCTAATGGGACTTCTCCTCCCTGTTGTCGTTCAGCTTTTCCTTTGATGATTGTTTCTAAAGCTTCATCATAGGGTATTCCACTCTTGAGCAGTCTAGAAAGACGCTTCCTGGTTGCACCTCCGAATCTTTTCCTCTTCACAATTTCTTCTGGAGTGGGGTTATTCCCAATCTCCATTTCTTCCTCCTCACTGTATATATTAAGACTGCTGTCTGGGTAGTCAGGTAAAAGTATTCCTCCGGAAGACGTTGCATCTCCCAGCAACGCATTTTCTAAAGCTTCCTCATAAGGCATTCCGCTTTTGATGAGTTTAGAAATAAGCTTCTTAGTGGCATCTCCAATTTTTTTCCTCTTCTTCATGTCTTCTGGAGTGGGGTTATTCCCAACCTCCATTACTTCCTCCTCACTAGATATACTAAGACTGCTAACTGGGTAGTCTAGTCGAAGTGTTCCTTCTTTGATTTCCCCAGTACAACTTTCCAAACAAGACTTCTTAGCTCTGTGTTCTGCTGTGCTTGCATCAGAAAGGTATCGCTTGCTGCAGCCTTGTTCACTGGGAGCTTTTCTCTCTTCCAGATTGATTTTCCTCCCTCCAAAGGCTTCTCCTCTCTGTTGTAGTTCAGCTTTCTCTTTGATGACTGTTTCTAAAGCTGTCTCATAGGGAATTCCACTCTTGAGGAGTTTAGAAAGACGCTTCCTGGTAGCGCCTGGAAATTTTACCCTTTTCTCTCTCTCTTCTGGAGTGGGGTTATTCCCAATCTCCATTTCTTCCTCCTCACTAGATATACTAAGACTGCTAACTGGATAGTCTGGTCGAAGTGTTCCTTCACTGATTCTTCCAGTACAACTTTCCAAACGAGACTTCATAGCACTGTGTTGTGCTGTGCTTGCATCAGAAAGGAATCGCTCGCTGCAGCCTGGTTCCCTGGGAGTTTTTCTCTCTTCCTGATTGATTTTCCTCCCTCCAAAGGCTTCTCCTCTCTGTTGTCGTTCAGCTTTCTCTTTGATGACTGTTTCTAAAGCTATCTCATAGGGAATTCCACTCTTGAGGAGTTTAGAAAGACGCTTCCTAGTCGCGCCTGGAAATTTTTTCCTTTTCTCCATCTCTTCTGGAGTGGGGTTATTCCCAATCTCCAGTTCTTCCTCCTCACTAGATATACTAAGACTGTCAACTGGGTAGTCTGGTCGAAGTGTTCCTTCACTGATTCTTCCAGTACAACTTTCCAAACGAGACTTCATAGCACTGTGTTCTGCTGTGCTTGCATCAGAACGGTATCGCTCACTGCAGCCTGCTTCACTGGCAGTTTTTCTCTCTTCCAGACTGATTTTCCTCCCTCCAAAGGCTTCTGCTCTCTGCTGTCGTTCGGCTTTCTCTTTGATGACTGTTTCTAAAGCTATCTCATAGGGAATTCCACTCTTGAGGAGTTTAGAAAGACGCTTCCTGGTAGCGCCTGGAAATTTTACCCTTTTCTCTCTCTCTTCTGGAGTGGGGTTATTCCCAATCTCCATTTCTTCCTCCTCACTAGATATACTAAGACTGCTAACTGGATAGTCTGGTCGAAGTGTTCCTTCACTGATTCTTCCAGTACAACTTTCCAAACGAGACTTCATAGCACTGTGTTGTGCTGTGCTTGCATCAGAAAGGAATCGCTCGCTGCAGCCTGGTTCCCTGGGAGTTTTTCTCTCTTCCTGATTGATTTTCCTCCCTCCAAAGGCTTCTCCTCTCTGCTGTCGTTCAGCTTTCTCTTTGATGACTGTTTCTAAAGCTATCTCATAGGGAATTCCACTCTTGAGGAGATTAGAAAGACGCTTCCTAGTCGCGCCTGGAAATTTTTTCCTTTTCTCCATCTCTTCTGGAGTGGGGTTATTCCCAATCTCCAGTTCTTCCTCCTCACTAGATATACTAAGACTGTCAACTGGGTAGTCTGGTCGAAGTGTTCCTTCTCTGATTCCTCCAGTACAACTTTCCAAACGAGACTTCATAGCACTGTGTTGTGCTGTGCTTGCATCAGAAAGGAATCGCTCGCTGCAGCCTGCTTCCCTGGGAGTTTTTCTCTCTTCCTGATTGATTTTCCTCCCTCCAAAGGCTTCTCCTCTCTGCTGTCGTTCAGCTTTCTCTTTGATGACTGTTTCTAAAGCTACCTCATAAGGCATTCCACTCTTGAGGAGTTTAGAAAGACGCTTCCTAGTCGCGCCTGGAAATTTTTTCCTTTTCTCCATCTCTTCTGGAGTGGGGTTATTCCCAATCTCCAGTTCTTCCTCCTCACTAGATATACTAAGACTGTCAACTGGGTAGTCTGGTCGAAGTGTTCCTTCTCTGATTCCTCCAGTACAACTTTCCAAACGAGACTTCATAGCACTGTGTTGTGCTGTGCTTGCATCAGAAAGGAATCGCTCGATGCAGCCTGGTTCCCTGGGAGTTTTTCTCTCTTCCTGATTGATTTTCCTCCCTCCAAAGGCTTCTCCTCTCTGCCGTCGTTCAGCTTTCTCTTTGATGACTGTTTCTAAAGCTACCTCATAAGGCATTCCACTCTTGAGGAGTTTTGAAAGAAACCTCCTAGTGGCGCCTGAAAAATTGTTCCTTTTCTCCATCTCTCCTGGAGTGGGGTTATTCCCAATCTCTGTTTCCTCCTCCTCACTAAGAGAATGATCAAGGCGGATTGATCCGTCGTCGTTAAAATTTCTTATTTCTTGTTCGTTCATAGTGATCCCACGAGTAGCAAGGGTACAAAAAGACCGTCACGGCAGAGCCCCGCGGTACCG